TACCATAAAGATATTGGGAAAAATACTAAAATGTAAAAGGAAGGAAAAATCTACTCTACCACTGCCGTCCTGAGAGGAAAACAGTAAATTGTATTATAACTCCTCCTGGTGGGAAAGGCTGTGGTTTTTTTTTTTTTTTAATTCAACATTAAAAAAAAATACACCAAAAAATAATTTATTCATTTTGAGGGATGTTTGCAGGGAGGGGGCTTTAAAAAATGTTTATTTATTTTCATCTACTTGAAAGGCAGAGAGAGAAAGAGAGCTCTTCCATCTGTTGGTTCACCCCAAAGTGCCTGAAATGGCCAGGCTGAAGTAGGAGCCTGGAACTCCATCCAGGTCTCCCATGTAGGTGTCAGGACCCAAGCACCTGGGCCATCACTGCTGCCTGCCAGGATGCATTAGCTGGAAGCTGGATCAGAAGCAGAGCAGCAGGGATGCAACCAGCACTCTGACAGGGGCTACAGGCACAGCTTAGCCTGCTGCACCTTGATGGCTGCCCCAGGGCAGGGGCCTTGACTAGATGGGTAAAAGGACAGCCACACAAGTGCCCTCCACCTAAACGACTGGGCAAGGGAGCCAGGCCTGAAGCGCATTATCAAGAGAAGCAGGCACATCTGCCCCTTCCCTCGTGAGCCTTTGACAATACTATCACTACAGAAGCAAGTCAGACAAGACCCACGTGGGTCACACGTGTTCATTGGCTCTCAGCACCTCCCCCGGGTGCGGACGAACAGTGATCTGAGACAGGCTGCACAATGTGCCCAAGCACGAGGCAGGTGAGAGAAGGCTCTAGAAGGCACAAGGGAATTAGCCCCGACCATAGAGAGAGGGGAGGGAAGGTGAGCGTTTTCCACCAAGCCCCAAGCCAAGTGTCTGAGTCCCAGCGTGGTCATCCCTGTGCAGAACTCAAACCTCGGGCAGAACCACCTGCTCAGCTCTATGTACCATCTATGGGGCCCAGGTGGGGACCCAGATGTGGTGTCTGGGCTCCCACCCTCAGCTAGAGCAAGGAGGGGGAGTTCTACATTTTCAGGAGCTGTATGGACTGACGTGTGCTGGGGGAATGCCCATACTTGAACCAGTCATCGTCTCTTATCTAACAGGTGCATGAGTTAGCATACCAACTCACGACACGGTTCACTCATCCATCTGAAACACACTTCCTGAGCGGCTAGGACACACCGGACGGATGCTCAGTGAACTTCCACCACGCCCCAGACAAGGCACTTGGTGTCCTGCACGGCACAGAAGCAGACACTAGTTTCCGTGGGTTTGCTGTCCCCCTGGGGGACCAGGCACTTAGAGAGTAATGGGGCAGAGTGGGCTCTAATGATTAAAAGAGGTATTAAAGGACTGCCAATCAAATGCAGCATACAGACTGGATCCCGATTAGAGCAAACCAGCTCTGAAGGTTTGAGACAACCAAGGATAGGTGAATATGGTTGGGTAGACACCAAAGGTTTGCTGTTAATTCTGGCACATGCAATTCTGGAAGTGCGGTTATGAAAGAATATAAGAAAAAAAGACATGACATCAGAGATTTGCTTTAAAATACATAAGAGAAGGGGCCAGCACTTTGGCACAGCAGGTAGATTCAGTATTTGCAATGCCAGTGCACTGCTGGTTCAAGTCCCAGCTACTCTGCTTCCAGTCCAGCTTCCTACTAGTGTGCCAAGGACGGCAGTGGGTGATGGCCCGAGTGCCTGGGCCCCTGCACCCATGGGGGAAATCAGGCTGGAGTTTCTGACTCCTGGCTTTGGCCTGGATGCATAGCCAGGTTGCATCCACTTGGAGAGCGAAGAGCAGATGGAAAAATCTCTGTCTCTCTGCCTTTTTTGTCACTCTGCCTTCCAAACAAATAAATAAAACTTAAAAACAAAGTTCATCAGGAAGGAAGGATGGAGGGAAAGGGGAGACACAGTGAGAACAAGAGGGAGAGAAGGAGAGCGAGCGAATGTGAGCGTCAACCTGGCGTATTCTGGATGAGGCTGGGTATTTTTTTTTTTTTTTTTTGACAGGCAGAGTGGACAGTGAGAGAGAGAGACAGAGAGAAAGGTCTTCCTTTGCCGTTGGTTCACCCTCCAATGGCCGCCGCGGCAGGCGCGCTGCGGCCGGTGCACCGCGCTGATCCGATGGCAGGAGCCAGGAGCCAGGTGCTTTTCCTGGTCTCCCATGGGGTGCAGGGCCCAAGCACCTGGGCCATCCTCCACTGCACTCCCTGGCCACAGCAGAGAGCTGGCCTGGAAGAGGGGCAACCGGGACAGAATCCGGCGCCCCAACCGGGACTAGAACCCGGTGTGCCGGCGCCGCTAGGTGGAGGATTAGCCTAGTGAGCCGCGGCGCCAGCTATGAGGCTGGGTATTGAGTATTAAGGGCTCGTTATGCTAGCCCATTGGTGTGTGTTTGAAATGTTCATAATATTTTTAATAGAGGACTGCATGGCAGACACCCTCATGAAGACTTGTTTAAAGGCTAAAGGAAACAAGGAGAATTTTGTAAGGAGCAGAGAACAAATCTGCCAGGTTTACGAGTGTTTTCATGCCACCTCATAGTGGGTGGGAAGACCTGTTCACACATAATTACAACACCCGGTGCAGACCGGCCTCCCATTGTTCCTGCTCCCCAGGGTGTGGAACTCCGCCCCCTGCACCCCCAGCCATCTCCTCTACAGGCAGAGTCCAGAATCCTAGCCTGGGCCACTCACCAGCTGTGTGACAGGGGAAGTTAACCTTTCGGAGTGCCAGTTTCCTTAATGGTAAAATGGGAATAACCCTGCATACCTCAGAGGGCTGATGTAAAGGTCTAATGATACAAAGAATGAAAATTCCAGCATAAAGAACTCTCCCTCCCAGGGCTTCTGGGATTAGCAACATCTAGCCCAAGCCTGCTACCTATGCAATACCCCATCCTGCCAGAGCCGAGGCTCTCCACCGAGAAGGCAGGCCCACAGCAGGGAGGTAAGCTCAGGCAGAGGTAGGGGCATGGTGGGAGAGAACCAGGACAGGCCCAGTCACAGGCAGGGCAGCAATCAGGGAAGATCCGGCTGCTCTGTGCAGCTGTGGGGAATGCGCCTCCCATTGCCTCAGCCACAATCAACCTTAGTCCTGCAGCTGATTTATACTCAAGTGTAGCTGAGTGATATCAGCCTAAATCACAATTTTTCTTTTGGAAGAGGGACATGGGCAGAAAGCCAGATCCTGAGGCCTGAAAAAGGGAGGGGTAGGAATAAAAGTGAAGTCATATTTTGATAAAGGTGTGATAAAACTTGAGATCTTAATCCCCTACAATCATAACTAGTATACTCCAACACCTGCCCCTCCACGCGCGCACACACACACGCACACACACACACACGAAATAGTCCTAAGGCTGAGGTTATTTTAGTTAACACAGTCACCCTCGCCTGTCCCAGAAACTGACTCTCAGAGGTGAGACCAAGTCAGTGTTGGAAGGAGGCTTCCCCCAAAACCCCACCCAACACTGGCAGTCAGTCTCTCTTGCTCACACTGTGGCCATCCCTACTCTTAACTAGAAGGCAGAGTGGGGAAGAGGTTTACGGCTTCAACAACCTGGCCTCAGCTGGGCCAGCTTAAGGGTTTTGCAGGAGAAGCATCCCCTATAATCCTGGTGGGCAGCCTTCAGAGGCCAGGAGGTGGCACTCAGCACACAGTGGGCTCACGATCTCACACACCACACACACTTCTCACAGCCACGGGCAGCAGGCAGAGCACCGGACTTAGCACTGAGGGAGCCGGGGTTGACTCAGGCTTGGGCACTTACCCCACCTGAGTATCTTTCCTCATCTCTGAAACAGGAGGGGGAGCAGGAGGAGCGAAGGAGGGGGTGGGGGAAGCTCTCAGAGTGTTTGAAGGATAACAGTGAGATCCCCTGCGAAAGCGCCACAGGACCGGCCTGACCTGCAGTAGGAATCAAATAAATCTTTCCTGTCTGCCACAGAAGGCGAGTCCTTACCGCAATTAAAGTTTCCAGGACACGGGGCGGGGCTGCCCTGAGGCCCATTTATGGGGTCCTCTGCCCCTAGAGGAGGGTGGGGCGCGACAGAGTCGCAGGTGCCAGGGAACCCCAACACGCAAGGACCAACGGGCCAGCTCACCGCTGGCACTTCTCCCTTGCGACCTGCCCACAAGGGGGCTGGTCAGTGACTTCATCCTTCGTCCAAACCACGGAGGGCTGTAGCGAGCCGGCGAGACTGACAGCAAGAGAAACCCAGGGCTGGGGACTCCACGACGTGCACACTGACTCGGTTTCAACAGGCCTCTTCCCCATCCAGCCAAGGCCGTTCCCGGCTCAGCCTGCCGGGGAGCCCGGGCTGGGACAAAGTTAACCCCAGCTGCTCCGGGCAGAGGCTGCCGGCAGGACTCAGCTCCTCCCCGGGACCAGACGGGCGACCGCAGAGCGGGCGCTCCCGGGTCGGGGGCGAGCGCGGGCTGCCGGGGGGCGCGCGACCCGGAGAGGACCGAGCCGCAGCCGCGGCCCTGGCCCCGGCCCCGGCCCGCAGCGACCAGGCCACTGATATTGGCACTGCTTAACTTCCTGTTATTAAGGAGGGAGAGAAACGGGGGAGGAAAATAAAGGGGGGGGGGGGGCGCAAAAGGCGCAGAGCCCGAAGAGCACCCGGCCCAGTTCAGGGGGCGACCAGAGGCACGTCTGGCCATCGCGCCCCTCGGATTCGCCGTTTGGGGTTCTCTGGGTTCGGAGCGGCAGGGCTTGAGTGTTGGGGACGGAGGGACAGGTCGTACGGGCTGCTGGCGGGAGGCTTTTATTGTATTCTAATCGTTTCAGAGACCAGCGGGGGCGCCCCGGGCTCTCCCACGGGGCCACCTGCTCTCTGCGCGCTAGCGTGGGGGCTCTGAGGCAGGGGATGCTTCGGCCGCACCTGACCCTCCCCGGCGCCCGGCAGGGCGCAGAGTCCAGCTGGGGCTGACACGGTCCCCACCCGCCCGCCTTCCCCAGCTCCCATGCCTTCCCCGTCTTACCGAAGGTCGCGCGGGCCGCCGGGCCTGGGGTCAGCGGCTGCCTCCGCCTCCGGCTGTGGGCGCAGCTGTCGGAGCCCGCGGGCCGCCTGCGGAGCTGGGAGCTAGCGAGGCGGCCCCGCGCAGGCTTAGCCGGCCAGGCGCCCGCGGTTGTGCGCGGCGCGGCGCACCGGCCTGGGGAACGCCCCGTCAGCGGCAAAGCCAATGAGAGGGCTGCCGGGGGCGCGGCCCCGCCCCCGGGCCGAAGCATACGGCCAATAGCAGTACGGCGCGGAGCCCGCCCCCGCCCCCGCCCCGCCCCGCCCCCACGGGGCCGGCTGTCACCGCCGCTGCCGCCGGCGCACGTGGGCTGTAGCCCGGCCCCGAGCGCGGAGAGCTGCCTGGCGCTCCCACCCAGGCGGGCGCAGGCTGGGGATGGGCTGAAGGCCGCTAGCAGCAGGGCGTGGTGGCGCTGCTAGATAAAAAGCCCGGCTTTGGCATCCTGGTGCCGAGGGAGAAGCAAGAGCTGCGCCTCCCGCACTGTGGCCCTGGCCCGAGCAGCTGGAAAGCGAGGCTCAGCTTCTGCTTTGGGACGTGGGGAAGCCGCAGTGCTCTCCCAGCTCTGCCTCCTGGCTTTGCTCCTTCCTTGATCGCCCTCAGCTTCAGCAAACCGCCCTGCCAGCTAGCAGCCTCTTCCTGTCACTTGAACGGGCCTTGCTTAGGCTGAAGCTGATGGGAAGAGGGGCAGCGGAGGTGGATGACACGTGCACCTCGGTCAGCTCGCCTGAGGCCCTCCCCCCACCTTTCTGCTGTCAAATGTCTGCCTTCAGCTCTGCTCTGCCCACCCTCATGGGTGGCCCTATACACACCCCTCCACCCTCCACACACACACCGCATCCCCTACTGCAGAGGGCACCTTCCAGGGGAACCACAGGGTGTTGGCGTGGGGTACGGTGAGGACTGTGAAGCACTTTGTGGAGCATCTTGTGCCAGCTGCTCTGCTACAGTGATCCTGAACTGGGATCTCCTTGGGCAGGAGGCCTGTCTGACTCACCTCCCAGCTTATCCTGGGGCCTGACGCAATGTAAGCATCTGTAAGTGTTCTTGGAACTGGGCTGACCCACAGGGAGGAAAACAGGCAGGCTTGGGCAGTGAGAAGCAGGGTCGTGGCTCCAGGCTGCTGGAATCTCTGCACAGCCAGGCCACCCCCTGGAGACGCCACGTTCCCTCGCCGGGTAGGTGCAGCCAGAACAGGTGGCTTATTTTTCCTCTTCCCCTTACGTGTGATCTGACTCCCTGCCTTTTGGACTTCCCAGGTACTGCCCTACCTGGCAGTTCTCTTAGCATTCCCAGCAGTCAGTCCGCTTCCTGCAGAGGAACTTTCCAGCAAAGTGCTGCCCTTTCTCAGAGGGGCAGCACTCCACACATTACCTCATCGAAGTCTGGCCCTATAGGCATGCATTTTGTAAATGCCTATTTGTCTTTATTTATTGGAAAGGCAGAGTGACAAGACAGAGGAAGAGATCTTCCATCCATCTATTTGGTTCACTCACCAAATGCCCACAGCCGCGGGGGCTAGGCCAGGGAAAAGCCAGGAGCCTGGAACTCCATCCAGGTCTCCCACGTGAGTGGCAGGGGCTCAGGTATTTGAGCCATCATGGATGCATTCCAGAATGTGCATTAGCAGGAAGCTGGATTGGAAGCAGAGCAGTCTGGTCTCAACTCTAACCAGGCACACCGACAGGGGATATGGGCATCCTAGGGGACAGCTTAACCCACTGCACCACAACGTTTGCCCCTGGAAGCAGGCTTTTTTTTTTTTTTTTTTTTTGACAGGCAGAGTGGACAGTGAGAGAGAGAGACAGAGAGAAAGGTCTTCCTTTGCCGTTGGTTCACCCTCCAATGGCCGCTGCGGCCGGCGCACTGCAGCCGGCGCACAGCGCTGATCCGATGGCAGGAGCCAGGTACTTATCCTGGTCTCCCATGGAGTGGAGGGCCCAAGTACTTGGGCCATCCTCCACTGCACTCCCTGGCCACAGCAGAGAGCTGGCCTGGAAGAGGGGCAACCGGGACAGAATCCGGCGCCCCAACTGGGACTATAACCCGATGTGCTGGCGCCACAAGGCAGAGGATTAGCCTAGTGAGCTGCGGCGCCGGCCGGAAACAGGCATTTTTATCATCCCCATTTTACAGATGTGGATGTAGACGAGTAAGGTAGAGCAACTTGTCAAGGTCATATGCCTAGTGTCAGTCTGGATTTCAGCCTAGATCTATCTGGTTCTAGAATCTGTCTGGGGCCTCTACAGCTCTGCCTATGCCTCTGGGCAGGCAGGTCACATCTGTCCCCAGAAGAACTGCTGTAGGCATGACCCACTCTCAGTCCATCCGTTCTGAAGAGGCATGTAGGGACAAGAGAGACCCCGGAAGCCCAGGCCTGCCTTTGTTGTGAAAGGAAACGGGAAACTCAAGGCACTGAGAAGCTTCAGGAAAGCATGTTACCTCTGGTCCTGGCTTGATTTCCCTGCACACAAGGCCTGTTGCTGCTATCCTGGACAGGAGACACCAGTGCTGGCCATGGGGATGGATACAAGGTCATTCATTCGTTTAACAAACCCTCCCATGAACTAAAGGAGGGTCCTGTGCTCCTGTAACTTATAATTCAGCAGATGCATAATCAGAAGTACATGTTGGGGGGCCAGCACTGTGGCGTAGCAGGTTAAACCATGGCCTGCAGCTCCAGCATCCCATATGGACTCTGGTTCAAGTCTGGTTGTTCTACTTCCAATCCAGCTGCCTCCCTGCTAATGTGCCTGGAAAAGCAGTGGAGGATAACCCAAGTCCTTGGGCCCCTGCACCCACACGGGAGAACTGGAAGAAGCTCCTGGCTCCTGGCTTCAGCCTGGCCCATCCCTGGTCATTGTGGCCATTTCAGGTGTGAACCAGCAGATAGAAGATCTCTCTCTCTCTGTGTCTCTCTTCCTTTCACTCTCTCTGCCTCTGTCTCTCTCTCCCTACCTGTCTCTCCTTCTCTCATCTTGTAACTCTGCTTTCAGATAAATAAATAAACCTTTTTGAAAAAAGTACACGATGACACAGGAGTCATATTCTTAATTACTTTTATTTTTATTTTTAACATGTTCCATCACCTTATCTACAACACAATGTTCTCCTTTCAGATTAAAACAAACTTAACACCATTTCAGGAACACAGTGGCCAACCAAGTTGAACAGATACGGCACTGCTCAGCACAGAAGTTCTCACAGCTCAAAAATGAGAATTCCCCTTTGCATTCCCAGAATCTCTGCCTCCTCTCCCCCAGCCTACACCCAACCTATTAAACTCAGGAGGCTCAGGTAAGAAAGACCCTTGCTAGGCAGGTCTGAAGGGTGAGTCTTTCCTTGGATGTAAGACAAGCTGGGAGTGGATGGGGGCCAACTTCCTGGAGGGAAAGAGACAGTAGTCAGAGGCTGCACCACCTCACATTAGCCACCTTTGCCAGCTGCTATGATTTGGATATGATATCTATGGTTTGGATATTTCAGTGCCCCCAGAGGCCTATGGATAAAAGGCTTAGTCCCCAGAGTCTTACGTTAATGGCACTAAGGGATGGGGTCATTGGGAAGAGATTAGGTTGTGAGGGCAGAACCCCAGGACTGAACCCTGGTGGCTCTATAAGGAGATACACAGACACACGCGTGTTCCTCTGCCGTGTGACGCTCTGTGCTGCCTTGGGACTCTGCCAGCAGGAACGCCTTTCCCACGGGCCCACTGATCTTGGACTGTGAACCTCCAAAACCATGAGCCAAAATAAACCCCTTTCACTCATAAACAGCTTGTTTTCAGATAGTGTGTGATGGTCATGAGAAGGTGACTGATACAAGAGCCATCTCCCTAGTGGCTGGAGAGAAAGGAGTCCTGGGCATCACAACTCAAAGATGTCATCGTGCGATGTCCTGCTGAGCTGTGGCTATGTCTGGGAGTTTGTATAATTCAGCTCTTCAAAGAGAAGATCATGCGATGTGGGGGTGGAACTTAGAGGAAGTATTATCTAAAGAAAAGGATAGAGCCCCAGAGACAGGAAAGTGCTCGCCAGGGTCCTAGACGGTGCCCCTTTCTCCTTCTTAGCATGCTAGGAAGACTCCACTGCTCCATGCAATAGGTCGCTGTTCCACACACAGTGACAACCTCTTCCCAGCCCACTACAGCAGGCTGCATGGGAAGTTGTCTGGGAGATGCAGATGGCCACTTAGCATCAGAGGGAGGGAGAGAAGCAAGGCCCAGATACATCCCTAAAAATATCCCCACCTCACAGTGAAGCATCGGGCCTCCATGGCACCACGCATGCCTCCCCCTGAGAAAGCTCCAGCTGGCGGCCGGCGTCATCCGGTGGGAACCCGGCGCTGCTCCACAAGGGCTGTGGGCGCAGCAGATCTGTCTGCCTTTATTTCCAGCCTCTCAAGCTGCTTAGAGAAAGGTCGGCATTGCAGTAAGTGGATTTCCCATGCAGAGATTTCCTGGGTGCAGAGAAGGCAGAGCCCTTCTGATATTTGAGTGGCAGGGAAAGAGTGGCCCTCGCTCCCAGGCCTCCTCCTGGCACCCCTCCTCCCATCAGGGGTGAAATAATGAGTGTGGTTTTCAAAGGGCTTTGGTCTTTGGAAGGAAGAAGATTGTATCTATTCAGAGACTGATGAGAAAGCAAAGGCCTCTGGCCACCTTGGGAGCTGTCTTTGGAGGGGACTTTCTAAGCCAGGAAGTGGAAACATTTGTACCTCCCTCAGATAGACCCAGGACTGTGTGAGAGGCAGGACTACTGGGGCTTTGTTCTAGCCCTTATCATCCCGATAGGCCTCCGAATGCACCCCTCCTTCATCATTAAGACATTTCAAAGTCTCCAAGGTCCCTGGGAATGTATCAGGCCTGCCATAGTTTCGAGGATTGTCCAGAGGCAGCATGGGGGAAGAAATGGCCCTTGGGCGAGACCTGCCATTGTCAGGGATGCCCTCAGAGGCACCACAGCCATTTGGGGACTATGCATGTTGCTGGCGATGGTGAGAAATCTGGTGCTGGGGGGCTGAGAGCTGTGGCTGCAAGTAGGAGGAGACTTCCCAATCAGAGCAAAAGGAGACAGAAGAGAGAGGAAGAAACTTGGCCTCAGGCAAAAGTAGCCCAGCTCGGGCCTCTGTTAGACT